GGCAAATTATGGGTTTCCCAGACAATTGTATGGGCTCAGCAGGACAAAACCCACCTATTTGAAATCTATTATATAATGAGGTATCCAGCCCAAAGTTCTATTGTTAGCCTGCACTCACTCTAGACAGCTTATCTATCCCAACTCTGCCAAGGAGGTTAAGCCATTAAGGGTTCTATAACTTTTTAAATTTTAAAGCCCATTTGCAATATTTAGCATAGATGATAGTCTGACCTCATATTAGAGGTACTGCTATGCTTGGGTTGGGCCTGGCGTTTAAACGTTTTGAACACGAACTCAGATTTTCTATTCATTTTTCTTATCCACTCTCTACCCGCTGTGAATTACAGCCACACATCTCTCAATCCATAATAGAGATATGTGACTGCAATTCACAGCGGGTAGAAAGTGGGTAGGAAAAGTGAATAGGAAATCCCGTTTGTCTGAACACAACTGCACTATCCTGAGTCCTGACCCACAGGCACCAGTAAGCTGTAGCTTTGTATGCTTAATGGGGTGCCGTTATTTTATCCTTGCTATTGGGGTTTAACAACCAGCTCCTGTGTATGCTCGACAGATCATGTATCACCCTCTGTTTTTCAAACACACTTTACACCCCTGAGGGTCAAATTTACGCTGCAACCACATCATTTGCATCTCAGTTTCTAAAATATGCATCAACGCAATCCGGGACCATCCTGTTAGCCCAGTTGGTCACTTCTTTTCAGATGGTTTGACGTTTGAGTCTCCAACCCGGGACAAACCTGTTAGCCCAGTTGACATAGTATAGGTTCATTAACTAGTTGTGTTACACATGAAATGTAGTGTAAGAAGAGAGGGTTTGGAAGTGTCCATTGGAGCAATTGAAACTCCAGAAAATACAACCAGGATTGGCGTAATTCGAACTCTCACTTGCACAAGAGCTAAATTATCCTCTCTTGACTTGGCAAAGTCTAGATCCAACTCTGTTGTTTCTCCGTGTCAGTGTGTGTCTGTCCACCTAGAGAAACCAATTCAATAATGGAGGCAATACATTGGCCAAATGATTTGTACGCTATACCGTAAATCATGAGGACATACATATGTGATATGGCCACTCATTCCTTGGTCCCCACTTGGCCATCAAGGCCTGAGATGGTGATCAAGGTGCCAACAAAATAATTTCTTTTGGTGGAGACTTAAAGAAACCTCAGAGGAGTGGAGGTTTGCATAAGGCTCACCTTAGTGTCAATGAAATAAGGAGTTGAAAGGGGGAGACGGGAAAGCCCATTTTGCCATCTTTGCTATCGGAATCTGGAGATGTAGAAGAGAAGAGCTGAAGGATTCTAGGGTTTCATAACATTCTACTGCAACTCGATCTCTATCACAAGGCCATTGCCACGGCCACCATCCAAATGGACTTGGATCTTTGGGTTAGACTTTAGAGTAAGATAAAAGAAGTTTTTTTTTTTTATTTGTTTTCTTGGATGTTTTCTTTTTTAAAACAATTATTTAATAGAAGACCAAGATTAATTTAATCATTAAAAAGTAATTAATGGCCTACCCGGACTTCCTTTTTTTATTTGTTTTCTTTTAATATAATTATTTAATAGAAGATCAAGATTAATTTAATCATTAAAAAGTAATTGATGCCCTATTCAGACTTCCTTTAGGCTGTATTTGGTTTGAAGGAAAAAATAGGGAAAGGCAGGAAAACCTATACAAACCAATCATAGTCTTAATGGTCATTAATGATGTCATTCTTTGCCTGCTTTTTACTTTTTCTTTTTTTAATCTTTTCAAACCCATTCAGGGGTTATTAAGGCCCATCTATGAATTGGGATCTGATCCTCACACAGGGTGCCTCAACGATCTCACAAACCCATCCCACCATGCATTAGAAACATCTCCCGTAAATAATAATACACAAGTATGGGAGATGTTCCCAATGCACGATGGGATGTACCTGTGAGGTTGGTGCGAGGCACTATGTGTGAGGAGCAGATCCTGTCTCCCATCTATCCCGTGAAACAGGTCAGACACCAAAACACTCAAGTGTAGGATTGCATCATAGAGTCACAAATATGATATATATCAACCAATACTCCCCTTATAAGTTGTGTGAAATTTTAATCCTTAGATAAAACGAGTAGAATGGCTCGTGCGATGCATGAGATATTTGAACTAATGAATGAAATCACAACTAGATATAGATCTTAACCAAGTTGGGTGTAGGCACTTGTTTGATTCTTCACTTGTGTTAGTGCCGATCTATTTGATTGTCCTAAAATAAAATCATACTTCAATTACTTTATCCTATCTGAGTGTGAGTGGTAATGTTAAAGAAAATAAAACCGACTTAAAACATGATCAAGGATTCCATTTGACATATAATGTAATGCGTGTGTATATAAGTATGCAAAAAGCTCCATATTGCAACATTAGCACAATGGCTTAGAGGGCTACGGAACCAACCATAATGTTTCGTGCCAGTCATAAATTAAAATCCAAATACCAATCTTAGTTGGAACGATGTGGCATAGATTCAATTCAATTAAAGAGCCTAGCATCAGGGGGTTTTCTCTCAACTTTCCAATGCAGGATATTGAAGACAAACCTAGAGGATGCCAAAAGCAAACTAGCACGGGGCTTTTGCTCTTACCTTGCAAGTGCAAGATGTTGAAAACAAACAACTTGGATCCTCATGTAGAACAAGTACTAAGTTTTGGTAATTTTATAGTGTCTTTTGTTGATGGTTAAGAGAATTAAGTGTGTGTGTGTGTGTGTGAGAGAGAGAGAGAGAGAGAACTTACAAATTACAAAACACCAGAAAGATGCTTAGAAATTACTAATACAAACTTGATTTGGGCAAATATAAGCCTGCTAAAGACACAAGATTAAACATTGAATTAAACCCAAAGATGAAAAGTGCTTGAAACTTATAAATCAAAACTTATTAAACCAAAACCCTAATTGCTTAAAATTAATTAAACAGAAATAATTATCAAAGAAACTCAATTTTAAACTAAAGCATGATGTGAAACCAAAGTTCCTATTGCATTTTCATAACTTAAAAGAGTGAAAGAGATAATAGAACTTTGTAGTTGTTTTAAAGATGATATTGAATACGATTTTGGCATATATTGTTGTTGAAACTTCTTGAGGTGAAAGGCAAAAGGCTAAATATGATCGAAAATGAAGAGCAAAAACACTTGGAACTCCATTAGTTCCAAGTGTTTAAAAACCTACATTATTTATGTTCACATATTTTCCAATCAATCACCTAGAGGTGTAAATCGGGCCATACTGGGCCAACACGGCACGACCCGCATGTGGCCCATGCAAAGTGCAAGCCGTGCTCTGTCGGCCCGTGGGCCATGCTTCCCTCCCCTAAGATATTTTGGAGGGTCGGTCCAGCACAACTCATGTCTTGAGCCCACACGCAAATCAGGCCAAGTCATGTTTTTTAAAATTTTTGAAAAAATAATGAAAATTTTAACATAAATTAAAAATATATACAAAAAATTAAAAAAATCTTAAATTTTTATTTTTATATGAATTTGATGTATACAATTGTTTATATATGCAATAATATAATATAATTGAAAATAAAATTACATATATTAACATATTATATTTTATATATATATATGTGTGTGTGTGTGTGTGTGTATGTAAATGTTGCATACATATTTACATAAATATGTATATATATTTGCATAAATACATTTATATATGTATAATTTTAGAGTGGATTCATTGACCAACCCGAGCCCGAGCCCAACCCGAGTGCATCAAATTATAGTGCGGGTTGGACTCGAGTTGGAAAAATCGGGCTTGACCTCAGGCTCAAGCCTTAAGCCCAAATTTTAGGGTCAGGCCTGGGTTGACCATAAACCCGGCCCAACCTACCCAACCTGTCCAACTTGCACCCCTACTCTACGGTCACCCCTTATTATTGATTTTTAATAAAATAAATTAATAAACATAGTTATAGGAGTAAAGCATATAAATGAGAATAATTTTAAAAATAAAAATCAGAATTTCCAAGACAAAAACTAATAGACTTTTAAACAACGGTAAGACAAATAAAAATAATGGTGAAGGATAACTTTGAAATTTAAAATCATGGAGTTTTGAGGAATGAGACTATTACCATTTCCATTTTTATTAATGGTAAATAGAGATAATGGAAAAGTGATACACAACAAAAATTCTAGACGATCTAGAATATTAATTTTGAGTGCCCCATCCCGTGTATCGCATATATATTAATTTTGAACAATACTAGCATTATCATTAGATAGCGCTCTAATAATCAGAAAAGACAAGCTAATCAGTCCTAAATGGCTAAACCCTAGGTGTCTGATATCTTCAAAAAACTCCACGTTGAGCTAATTGTCTTTTTGCGTATTTAGGTCTACCAACAACCATACAAACTACAGCAATCCGGCACCACATCCCACTAGCACTGATCAGACCATTTTTTCAACTATTATTTAGCAGATTAACAATAAATTAATTGCCACCTCTTTTCTTAACACCTATTATAATGTTTATCAATCAAAACAAACAGAGTGCTCTTGCCAGCCTAGGTTAGGTTAGGTCACGGGTCACCCCCATAATTGAGCTCCTACTTATTTAGCCCGTTACAGACAGATAAAGCTAAATTTATATTTCATGCTCTATGGCCCATGCATGAGAGCAAAGATTAATGGCCCTTGAGCTCCTACTTATTTAGCCCGTTACACACAGATAAAGCTAAATTTATATTTCATGTTCTATGGCCCATGCATGAGAGCAAAGATTAATGGCCCTTAAGAAATGTTCTTTTTATTTTTATTTTAAACCAGATAAGCATGATTTGGGACAAGACACCAACCCTAACTAACTGACTAGCGTTCTTCCATGCCACCAAATCCATCCAGCAAATGCCCCATCAGATTTTGTCTTTAATTTATTTGATTTGATTATGTCTTACCAAACTAATCGTCAAGCACTGATTAGAAAAATACAATTATAAATAAAATGGATAATTACACCCTCATATAACATTGTTTTATTTTTTAAAATAATAAACAATCTCAAAAATAAAATAAAAAAAAGAAGGGATTTACAACCTCAGCTTTTGGATTATTACAGCTCAGAGGAGAAAACTAACTCCTGTTGTCTTCCTCCTCCAGCCCTCTCCCGTCTCTCGAATGGTTATGGAGAAAAGGGGACTCTTTCTTGGATCCTCTCCTGGTTTATTCTATGTTTGCAAAGGGAAGATTGCTATAATACAGATGCCCATTAATTTAATAAATAATGAACATTATATTACCTTGTAATATCTGTGTCTTCTCTGCCTTGTATGTATTTATTTCTGTTGCTGTTTCTGATTGTGTCTAATGAGGAGCTCAGCATAGAGGAGCTCGTTCCATGAATCGGGCACTCCAGGAAGGCACCAATGACTGCAATCCTGGTACCTTAAAGGTGACCGCCGTTCTTCCTCTGTCAAACTCTGCTTCCGGTAGATTGATGGGTGGGCGTCCTTCCTGTAATCTGTCATTCTTGTGATGTTCAAGTAGGAAACATGTGTTTTCATCCCTTTCATTACCGACTCCAGCACTTTCATCTTAGGTGGATATGGGTTGAGATAAGTCTCGTTCTTTATGGGCTCAGTCTCGTGGTCACATTGCCCACCAGAGTTCCACTGCCCACCACTGTAACAGCCGGAACAGAACAAAACACACAGTTACCTTCTGTTTCATTTTTTAATTTTTGAATTTCAATCTGATAAAAAAAAAAAAAAAAAAGAAATCAAAGCTTATGAAACAGAGAAAAAGGTACGAGTTAAATGTAAGTTTCACTTGAAACTGATCATAATTTCAAACTTACCTGAAATGAGAGGCAGAATAACCCCTGAAGAAAACCATGGTGTTACTGGGATCTATATTCGCATCGACCCATCTAGCCCACGTCGTCAAGGCTTTCCGAAACGCCTCAACGACGTTCAACTCGCCGTAAATATGGCTACCTTCTTGATAATAATCCTTCCTGCAAGTTGTAATCACTGGGTTTTAATTTTTCTTACGTAACAATTTGATCTCCGGAGTCTGGACCCAACCACGAAAGGTAAGGGCCAGATACTATCACAAGGAAAAGAGAAACTATTATGGGAATACCCTTTAGAAGTCTTCTTGTGAGTCCACCAGTGTCCTGTGTTGAAGACGATGATGTCTGCTGTCTTGTACTTGTCAAACTTCCTCTCGATTACGTCCAGACGAAGGGTTTCCTTCTTCGATCCATTCGTGTCGGGCATCTCCCATTCTTGAACCAGGAAGGGAGATCGAAAGAACTCCACGGAGCAGTTATAATCCTGCGGATTCATCCCAATTCCCAACCAAAACAGAAAAAAGGATGTATTTTTACTCAATAAACAGAGATCAAAGAAATCATGATAAAGAAACAAGACAAAAAAAATCATCAAATTTAACATGAAGAAGAACAACCCACTTCGAATATGAAAGAGTAAGAACCTTCTGTTCGAAATTCTCGTCTACCAGAAGCTTCAAAGACTCTGCTTTTGTCTTTCACCGAGTGTCTAAGAATGCAAACCAGAGATTCCCACATATTCCTATTAAGAGAATCACCGACAAAAACCAGACGTTTTCCTCTTAACAATTCTAGCATATCCCTCCCATTCAATCTGCATAACAGGACCAATTGAATTACTCTCAGTAGAACCGAATTCGCAAAGAAAGATTCAAATGTTATTTTCTTCCCCTTCTATATTCTAATATAACCACATACCTTGGGATATTGCAACCCTTGGGTTGCCATCTGAGTTTCTGATAATTTCCATCAGGCCTACTGTTCAGGAAACAATTAAAAGACTCGTCGATGTGAGGACAAGAACCAGGTGGATAGAGCGGATACGAATCATCCCTCACCCATCTCCCATAAAAAATGTTACAATGCATCAGAGAATCCATCGAGTTCTCTTTTGATTGCTTCACTGATGAACCCTCAGAAGATCCACTATCCCCCTTCGTCAGCGAAGCCGTGAGGTTCGTCGTCTTCCCTGGTTCTGCAACCACCTTATCCGACGCATTGTTAACCAGACCCACGCTTACAGGAGACACCTTCGGCACACTCACTGTATCATTCCCTGTTGAAGGGCGAGGTGCAGTAGTACTAATAGTACTCGTAGTATTAGAAGTAGAAGCGATAGTGTTAGCCTTGACTGGGCTCACCGGTACTTGTTTCGTATCTACAGGTTGTAATTTCAGAGAGGGGGATGGTGTAATCTGCGACTGGTTTTTTCCACTTGAACCTTCTTTTCTTCCAGGAAGTACAAAGGGCGTCGTCGTCGTAATGTTAGGAGATGTGGAGTTACTAAAACTGCATTGCAACGGAGGAGCATGATAACCATAAATGGGTTGGGAGGAATTGGGGAAAAAGTAGGAGAAAATGGAAGAAAACTGAGATCTGTAAGAAGAACTGGAACTGGAAGAAGCACCAAAGATGTTAGTAAACCGTGGGGAAGAACTCGTGGAAGGGTTGAAAGCGAGGAACGCAGTACAAGCAACGAAAGTGAACATGAATCCGTAAGCGAACATCATTATTCTTCTGGTTCTGAGGACAGAAAACAGGCCCTTCAGGTCGGAGACTAGGCTTCCGGTACCGGAGAGTTCCTTTGTCGCTTCCGCCATGGCGGATTTTGCATTGCCCGCCTTTCAAAACACCAGAGAGAGAGAGAGAGACAGAGAGGGAGAGGGGTGTTTAAACTTTACTTTAAAGCTGGGGACTGAATGTCTTCTCCAGTTCTCCCTCTGAGGAATGAGGAGCGGACGACGACCTCACAACGATACTAGATTGGGAAAGGAGACCGGGGACGGCTTCTCTCCAGTCTTTCACTTACATACAAATTATTATGCCCTTGGGTTTTTGAGTTAATATCGCAAACGCCACTACCAGTTGCCCACTCTTTTCTCATTCTCTGAATTTGAGGAAAGAAATTGGAACGAATCCGGACTCCGGAGGGTAGAAGAAGTAGTACCGTAAGAGCCTAGGAGGATAAGAACCGAAAAAAGAACTAAAGAAGAGATCCCTTATTATTATTAGGGCAAAAACCTCCCTTCTAGTTTCTGCCAATCATTAAAACCTTCCTTATAGTACCACTTTAGTAAAAACCCCTTCTATTTTTTTAAAAAAATCGATAGATACCTCTCTTCCGTCGATGATCAAAGATGGAAAACGTTAAACCAATGATCATAAAATACTTATTTTACCCTTTTATGAATTAATGTATATATGTTTTTATTAAAATACCCCTATCTACATTATACTCATTGCCCCTTTTATTATCCCAAATTCAACCTTTTATGTCGAAAGAGGAGCAACTCGAGGAATGAACCCAGGATAACGAACTCAAGAATCTTTCCAAAAAAAAGGAGAACCAACCAAGGATTTCGGTCAGGTGGGTTCTCTATTTTCAATTTAACACACAATGGTCCTATAAGAATACAAAAAACAAGAAATCATAATAAAGAAATGAACAAATTGAACTCCTACTAGAAAACATAGCAAAGAAATACGAATCCAACTTAGTAAAGAAATCGAAAATGAATAAACATATACACTACAGAAAATGAAGCAAAGAAATACAAAAAATGAACACACATAACAGAAATCGAACTCCTGGATTCGCAGAGAATGAACACAGATATGTTGATCAATACTTCGATTCTTAGAGAAAGAACGATGATAGATTCTAAGAGAATAAACAACAATGAAGAATGACATTAGTCTCTCGTGAAGAACGGTCTAGATTCTCAAGAATGAAAGTAAAATAGTCTCTAGTGAAGAACAAAGAAAGAACGACAGTCTCTGGTGAAAAACGGTCCGGATTCTTAGAGAATGAATGGCAAAATGGTCTTCAGTAAAGAATGGTGAAGAATGCCGATAGTCCACGATGAAGAAAGTTCTGAATTCTCAGAGAGTGAAAAATTGTTTGGTTTATCAGAGAATGAACAAAATAATAGTCTTTGATGAAGAACGATAAAGAAATGTGGAAAATGATTGTCTACGATGAAGTACGGTTGTCAAAAAATGGATGGATTATTTTGAGTAATATTGCTATGCAACTGCTAGGGTTTGCGTTAGTGTTTTGTAAAAAAAGAATAGGAATTCTAGCAGTTTCTCGATTAAGGGCAAATGCAGAATTTTGCAAATTGATCAAATAATGCCTAAGGGTAAAAATGTAATTATACATGTTTCTACCTTGGTCATTGATGGAAGGGAGGTATTTGTTGATTTTTTAAAAAATAAAGGAGAGGTTTTTGCTAAAGTGAAAGTATAGGAAAAGTTTTTATGATTGTCAAAAACTTTTTAGGGGAGGTTTTTGTATTTTACCCTTATTATTATCATGTCAAGTTACGAATATCTCCCCAAACCTTTGAGTAAATTACTAAGACCTCCCTCACGCTCATGTTTACTTGCCTATTAACTAGGGGTGATCATTTCAGCCCGGCCCGCACAAGCCCCCCCTGAAAATTCCGAGCTTGGGCGCGAGTTTTATGTTCAAGCCCGACCCGGGCCCGGGCCCACATCAGGCCCACAAATTTTAGGGTCAAGTTTGGACTTAATACTTCAAGCCCCGCCCAACCTGCATATATTTAAACTTACACATTTTGTGTATAATGTATACATGTTATTTTATATTATATTATATATTTTATATATAAATATTATAACATGATATGTATAATTTATATTATATAATGTATAAAATAAGTTTATATTCATGTTATGTCATTTAATATATGGATATATAATGTTTTATATATGAGTGACATTGGCCCAAAATCAGGCCTAGCCTGGCCCGAACACGTATAGACCTGAGCTAGGGCTTATGTTTTAAGCCCAGAACCCCGGGGCCTAAGCTATAGCCCTTACCATAAGTGCAAAGCCCAACCCAGGCTCGGCCCATGATCACCCCTACTATTAACTTTACTCATTATCTACTCATCGTGTAAATTTTAAAATAAAGGCTTTAAATTTAAAGTATAAAATACAAAAACCTCCTGTGCAGTTTCTGACAATCATAAAAATCTACTTTATAGTTTTGCTTAAGCAAAAAATTTCTCTATTTTTTAAAAATTCAACAAATACCTCCCTTCTGTCGATTACCAAGATGGAAAACGTTAAAGCCATGATCAATTTTTTCAAAATACGTATTTTACCATTTTACGAATTAATATGTATCTGTTTTTACTAAAATAGCCCTGTCTCGGATACTGTTTATCTTCTTCCTCACGACGGCAAAATGGCGGTGCACTCCCCCTCCAACCTTCCCTCTTCTTTAATGAGTGGGCAACCATCGCGGCAGATGGATGACAATGTCAGACGTCCAACGATGGTACTGGAAATTTCGTTCAGCAACAAAAACGGTACTCTGTTTTCTCGTTCCTTACAGAGTACCTTTCAGCAACTGGAAATTTCGTCCAAGGGAACGCACAACGGTACTCTGTTTTCTTGTTCAGCAACTTGAAATTTCGTCCAACGATGGGCAACCATGCTTCCTCTTGTAATGGGTAGGCAACCATGCTTCCTCCAAGGTGGGCAACCATGTAATGGGAATTTCGTTCATTACAGGGCTAGCACCAAAGTTGATAGCTCTTGCTGGCTCAAATCCAAATAACCAATCACCACACTGGTTAGCCCTTCTATATATATGCGATCCGCTTCATCAAGACAGACGTTCTGCTCCCCCATCCTCCCTTATCTCTGCTCTATCGATCATCACCATGTATCAGCTTGCTGTTTTGTGTAATGAACTGCCTTTAAAGGTTGCTTGTTTCACCATTTAGAAACAGTAGACCAAACTCAATGCCAAAGTGACAACCATGCCTTGGAGGCCTCCTCCACTATTAATTCATGTCCCATCAAAACCCTCGTGGTTTTAGTCCAAGAAAACCGCTCCTTCATCAACCCAGAAATTGATGGTGTCACCGGGAAAGAATACAACTTGATCTCTGCAAATTTTTTTATGAAATTATAAGAAAAGATTTTTATGATTGTCAGAAAATTCAGGGAGGTTTTTGTATATTACCCTAATTTAAATGATGAAGCGCAGTAGATAGTAATTTGATGCTGTTGGTAATATCAAGTTTAAGGTTACAAAGGGGTATCATCATGATATTTCTTCATATCCTGATGGCTAAATAGTAATTTGAGTTGCTTCAAATTTCCGAGGTTTCCTTTTTACGGTGGCTTGCTTTCCCTGCTGGGCGAATTCCACGGTGAAGGGTGGCCGCTATCGATACGGCCTACGAGAGAAGACGGAGAGAGGAGGACTTTGAGAATTCTGAAAGACTGGGGGGCATCCGTAATCCGTACGGCTGATGCGTAGATGTACTGAGGTTGTGGTTGCTTATTCTCAGCCTAAGTGACCCATTCAATAATGACTACTTATTAGGATTATTTACTAAGAGAGACGGATCTGCTTTTTACCTCACATCCCATTGTGGATTATATATTCTATCTCAGAATTTTGATTTATAGCCCCCTTCTAATCTACTAATAGCCCCTTGTAAGTTGCACCCTATGAATTTGACATCAGGATTCATTTCACCCCTCGAAATCCTTGTTTCATCTTAGGGATGGATTGAATTATAAAAATCCCTTTTAGTTATTGTTGTCTTTAATAGTCATTCGTTCAAGTTAATAAAAAAAAATGCCTTTTTACCGTTGTTTTCGAACCATTATTGATCTAAATGATCAGATCATTTGGCCTAAAAACCATCCAAGCAACTGGTTTGTTTCACCCTTAATCTGGTCCGTGGTTAAAAACTGATTTGATTAGTGACCTGCTGATCTAGGTGGTCAAACTGTCAATCCGTTCGATTCAAACAACGGTTTTTAGCCTTTTTTTTATTTTAATATATTTTTTTATTTTTTATTTTTTATTTTTAAGTTGGAACATATTGTTCATTCAAACCAGACGAATGAACCACTGACCCAAAAACCTGTGGCCAAAGTGATTCCAGTTCCATTCTACCTCAAAATTCATAAATTAGTTCCCTAAATATTAATGTATGTATCACCACCCCTAAATTTGATCATATTATGAATTTTGGGGTGGACTGAATTCAAATTACCCAAAATAATGGCATTTTTTATGGTTGATTTTTATCTTCTTCCATACATGCATTGGTTCACAGCTGCTGCTCAGACATGTCACCGTCTTCTTTCCCTCCTCAATTACAATTTACAAAAGCAGCACTTCCTTTTAGGGTTAGGGTTTTGAGTTTGAGAGTTTACTTTCAAATGAGAGGCGCTATAGTTCAATAGACAACAGCCTTGCTCCGCCTCATCCTAGCTAAGACTGGGCAAAGACATGGACAAGAAGCTGGTCTCCACTGCCTTTAGGAAAGTCCTCCAGCTCGCTACCAAAAGTAATGATCATCGAGTTCTCCAAATTTCAAGACTAGATCTGTTGCTGGTGACAAAACTACTAGTATGTATATGTCGTTCTAGACAATGGCCTCTAAAAATAGTGCCTTTCTCTTGCAAGAAGGTGCTTTAATATATATATAATACACAAACTATTGAAGTTTGCTTTTTCTGGCGTCAAATAAATAAATAATACACAAACTATGAAATAAGTGTCTAAGTAAATGATAATTAATTAAATACTGACACTGTTGTATATTTGAATATCTGTCTATTCTTCCTTCATCTGTGTTTGTTTATTGATTCAAAGCTATCTCTTAAATCTGGTTGTTCGAATCGGTATTAGGTAGGGTATCAATCGATCCATTAATTTCTATCTTCTTTCCTTGTCATTTGAAAACTTGCTTAATTTTGAACAGTTTGCGGGTGGGTAATTAATTTGTTTGGTCAAAGTATTTTATTCGATCATCTAGCATCTACTGACTACTAGATCATCTGCAGCAAATTCCCAATCCTTGGCCATTTGCATCCCACTCTTGGGCTGAGCTATATGAATTGCTGTCAGGGGTTTCTATTG